GTTCATAATTTGGGCCACCGGGTATGGCTTTGTTGGTCCTCTGTTCTCTGGGCAGGGGCTTGGGAAGGTCAGGTGTCCATGTCTCACTGGTTTGAGGAGGTGGGCCAAAGCCCCCTACTCCCTTCTCCGGTGCTCACCACACAGTCTGCGTTCTGGGTCAGCCTCTTGAGCGTGAGCAGGGAGTTGTACGGCTGGACCACCACATCGCTCATCTCGTCCTGGTTGGGAAACACTGAGTACGTCTGCACCAGCTTCTTGGGGTACCTGGGGTGAAGAAGAGGGAAAAGGGAAGGTGACACAGTGAATTGGAAGGACTCCCATCATTGCCCATCTTGGTCTTCTCTAGAGCTAACAGGGCCATCCCTTTCCAAGTGCCACCAAGCTCTTGGTACGAAAGGGGGGAGCCAGGGCAGAACTGAGTGCTCAGAGCCCAGAGCCAAAAAAGAATAAACCTAAAGCAGCAAACCCATCAAACCCTTAAGGTCCCTCCTCTCCCTAGGCAAACCCCTTCCTGGGTGTTCTTGCTTCCAAGATGTTCCCTGGATGGCCAGGCTCTGTTCCTACCAATGACTCAAAGCCACAGTGCCAGGCCTTCCAGTCCAAGAGAAAAAAAAGGGATAAAAAGGAAAGACCTTGCCCATGGAACCAGGGCTAATGCCCTCTCCCCAAACACAGGCTTACCTGTCATTCAGTCGTTCGAGAAGGTAGGAGCCCAGGCCAGAACCTGTCCCCCCAGCAATGGAATGACACAGCACGAAGCCCTGCATGGGGAGGGATGGAGAGGCAGTCTCCAGGGATGTGGGGGAGAGGCTTCAGACTTGTCTCATTCCCCACTCCCAACACACTCATGTCTCAAGGCTTCTTCTGTGTCCATCCAGGCTGACACTCCTTGGGAAGGAAGACTCATGCCTAAGGAGCTGATGCCATCCAGGTTAGGATCTCCTTGAGGACAAGTACTGTACCTTATTTACCTCGATATCTCACATAGGATACTCAAAGAATTAGTTTTGAATAGAACTGCCCCATCACACCACCTGTTAGGTATGTCCTGACCTTTCCCCAGCACTTTTCAGCCTTGTTTTCCCTTCAGCGGGGCAGAGCCTCACCTCTAAGCTGTCACTTCCATCTGCTTCTCGGTCTATGATGTCAAAAATGTCTTCATGGATTTTCTCGCCCTGTAGAGAGAGACATGGGAGGGAGGGTCAGGATGAAGGTTCTGGGGAGTATCTCTTTTCAGCACCAAGAACTTTACCCTGGGACACCGCTGCTACCCTCAAGCAGAGCCTCAGACGTGACCCTCAACCCAAAAAAGCTACTTTGCAAATGATTTGCAGTCTGCATAAACCTCTCCCTGGCTGTCCCTCTTGTCAGGGTATCCCTTCGTCTCTTATTTATCAGTATGGTCTAGTCAAATCCCCAGGCTGCCTGAGCCTGCCTTGCCCTGGGGAGGGAACATCAGGGGTTTCTGGGATGGTCACCCAGATACCTGCGAGAATCCACTGGCCCAGTTGTTGCCAGCCCCTCCGCCATGCTCCGACAGGTAGATGTTCTCTGGGTTGTAGAGCTTAGCATAGGGGGAGTTGAG